TGATGACGTCAGGATGTTCGAGGAGGACCTTACCCATTCGGTGGTTCGCGCGGGGGGATCGGCTCGTGTTCTCCAGATTCCTTCCGACATTAACCTCTTGGGCCAGGGGGATAACTTGGTGCCGCAATTTAGCCTGCTATGTTCGGAAGCCGATAATGGGTCCCTGCAGGATATCCCTGATGTCGAGTTAAGGGACAAGGTGGCTGTCATGGGCTTGAGGGTACGATACATTTGGCTCTTGTTTTAAACTTTCCCTATGTTTGAAAGCATTAGTTTAACTACCTTTTTGTTTTTCAGACATATATGGTGGAGGTGGAAAGCATTCGTAGGGCCAATACCCGATCGAGGATTTTCTTGCAGATGCTGGAGAAATACTGTTGCTATTGCAAAAGATGTCGCGAGTTGCACGAGCGGCTAAGGATGGCTCCCCGTAATCGGGCCCTGGGCGAGGAATTGGAGAAAAGGGACCAGGAATTGCTGCAGACGATCCGCAGCAAGAGCGTGCTTGAGGAGCAAATATGCATCAAGGATGAGGAGCTCGAATTGGGTAAGGGGGTCGCTGCAGAGTGTGAGTATTTTCAGTTGAGTTCTATGCAGTCGGAGATGGACCAGAACTTGGTATGGGTCGAAGTGATGAGTGCAGAGTGGAGAGGGAAGCTGACTGTGATGGAGAGTAAGGTTGCCGGTCTGGAACATATTGAGAGGGCCTGGTTTGAGGCTTTGGAAAGGGAGGCGGTCCTAGAGGATACCATCCGCGTGCTCCAGTCTGAGCAAGAATCGGAGAGGGCGACAGCTACTGTTATGAAGGCGAGGCTCGAGGAACGGATCAGCACGATTGATCAGGAGGCTTCAGTTCTGGGAGATCGAGTCGCGGTACTGGAGGCGGAGAATGAGCGACTAAAGACTCAAACTGAATCGTCTTCTACTGCCATTCCCCGTTAGGCGCATGAGCTCTGGGTTTATGTTGAAGCCCATCGGGGCGTATATAAGAGTTTGTTGGAAGTCGGCACCGTGATTGAGGCTCCGTATGAGGAAGCGCGAGCGAAAGCTCGTGAGGATCGCATCAACTGTGGATACGATGTGCGACACCCGAAGCTAATGGGGACGGGGATGGTGATGATGGTGAACCTTATGGAGATGGTGATGATGACAGCGGTAGTGACGCCGAATGAAGAATATTTGTACTTCATTTTTATTTTCATTTCACTTGTTGGTTGGCGTTTGTTCATTTCGTTTTTTCTTTCTTCTTTTTTTATTTGTTGGTCTGGGCCATATGTAAGCAGCGATAGCCTGCAGTTATGACTTTGCATAAATAAAGAGCTTTCTTCTTCGCTATTTGCCTTGTACTTCACTTTTTGTTTTAACTATGTGACATTGGCGCGAGACGGGGGCTCGCCCGACGAGTCCCGGTTTTTTTCTTTTCCTCTGGTGGTTGCCGGATCTTTTCCTTCTCGGTAAGGGCCCTTGGCCTAAGTGTTACTTCGAACTTATTAAAATAACAGCCCGTCGATGTTCGAGCGAGGTCGAACTCTTCTTTATCCTTGATGGCAAAGGCCCTTAGCCTTAAAGGTTGTTATTTCGAACTTGTCGAAATAACAGCCCGTCGTGGTTCGAGCGAGGTCGAACTCTTCTTTATCCTTGATGGCGAAGGCCCTTAGCCTTAAAGGGTGTTATTTTGAACTTGTCGAAATAACAGCCCGACGTGGTTCGAGCGAGGTCGAAATCTTCTTTATCCTTGATGGCGAAGGCCCTTAGCCTTAAAGGGTGTTATTCTGAACTTGTCAAAATAACAGATTCGAAATAACAGCCCGTCGTGGTTCGAGCGAGGTTGAACTCTTATTTATCTTTGATGGCGAAGGCCCTTAGCCTTAAAGGTTATTATTTCGAACTTATCGAAATAACAGCCCGTCATGGTTCGAGCGAGGTCGAACTCTTCTTTATCCTTGATGGCGAAGGCCCTTAGCCTTAAAGGGTGTTATTTCGAACTTGTCGAAACAACAACCCGTCGTGGTTCGAGCGAGGTCGAGCCCTTCTTTATCTTTGATGGAGAAGGCCCTTAGCCTTAAAGGGTGTTATTTCGAACTTATCGAAATAATAGCCCGTCGTGGTTCGAGCAAGGTTGAACTCTTCTTTATCCTTAATGGCAAAGGCCCTTAGCCTTAAAGGGTGTTTATTTTGAACTTGTCAAAATACAGCCCGTCGTGGTTCGAGCGAGGTCGAACTCTTCTTTATCCTTGATGGCGAAGGCCCTTAGCCTTAAAGGGTGTTATTTCGAACTTGTCGAAATAATAGCTCATCGTAGTTCGAGCGAGGTCGAACCCTTCTTTATCCTTGATGACGAAGGCCCTTAGCCTTAAAGGGTGTTATTTCGAACTTGTCGAAATAATAGCTTGTCGTGGTTCAAGCGAGGTCGAACTCTTCTTCATCCTTGATGGCGAAGGCCCTTAGCCTTAAAGGGTGTTATTTCGAACTTGTCGAAATAACAACCCGTCGTGGTTTGAGCAAGGTCGAACTCTTCTTTATCCTTGTTGGCGAAGGCCCTTAGCCTTAAAGGGTATTATTTCGAACTTGTCGAAATAACAGCCTGTCGTGATTCGAGCAAGGTCGAACTCTTCTTTATCCTTGATGGCAAAGGCCCTTAGCCATAAAGGTGTTATTTCGAACTTATCAAAATAACAGCCCGTCGTGGTTCGAGCGAGGTCGAACCCTTCTTTATCCTTGATGGCGAAGGCCCTTAGCCTTAAAGGGTGTTATTTCGAACTTGTCGAAATAACAGCCCGTCGTGGTTCGAGCGAGGTCGAACCCTTCTTTATCCTTGATGGCGAAGGCCCTTAGCCTTAAAGGGTGTTATTTCGAACTTGTCGAAATAACAGCCCGTCGTGGTTCGAGCGAGGTCGAACTCTTCTTTATCCTTGAATCGGATACTTTTCACGGAAGTCCCAATTCGGTTAGTATTGCTCGCATCAGATGGTTCAATGTTGTGGACATGAGGTGTCGATATTTTGAACATGCTCTCGTTGTACGTGTGTTATAGTTTCCCATCTGACTTCGGCCATTTGGCTTGGAGATACCACCGGCCGGCGGGTTTCGGCAGTTTCGTAATCGTTTTTGGTTCTCAATCTAGATATCCTTGCGTACGTTCGCTCGCGTGGATCTTTTGTACCTATTTTGGCGAAGTACGGGAGATAAGGGTGAGATGTTCCTTGCTTTCATCCGGAGATTTGGGGGGGGGAAGCCGGGTTGCAATACCGTTTGCCTTGTTCGGGATGTTCGCAGCCGATGAGGCGAGGAATTCCAGGCTTCGTGAATCCGTTTGGTTCCTCTTCCTTCATCGCGTTGTTTCCATGCCTCGCGTGAGCCAGGTTCTCCTTTCGTGCTTTTTTCGGCGAATGATCGTATTTCTTTGCTTCAATCTGGGAAAAACTAGGAGTATTCACTAGGAAATCCCCACAGACGGCGCCAAATTGTTTGACTCAAAAGATATTAAAACATTTTTGGACAAATCAATCTAAGATGAAGGGGTAAATCGTAGTAAAACTTAAATGATACCAGATCGAAAGATTAAGTAATAGTGATTGCGCATGAGACGAATGAAATGTCGATGATCTTATTAAGATTATGCACTGCCTATTTCATCTGTAGATGAGGAAGAAGGATGACAATTATTTTTCCCTTTTTTCGGATACAAGAATGGAGCTTTTTCCTTAAATTGTTCTTTTTTGAGAAAGTACTTTTTGCCCCCCCCCTCCTTTCGTAAGCTTCCCTGGGCTTATATATATATAGTCGAAACCCTCATACCCCTGCGGTGACTTGGTGTGTCTGGGTCAGTGGAGCTTTCCGGTCGTGGCCAGGCATTGCTCTCTTCAATGTGTCGGATGTCTTAGAGGAGAAATGAAGTTGACCCTATTGACTTCCGCTACCCGGTTGCAAAAATGGGGTCGTGGTCAACCTGGTCGAGGTGGTCAGATTTTGACCAATACAGAGGGCACTCAAGAAAGAGCGTGAATTTCTCAAGGACACGTGGATTAGGGCATTAATTAAAGGATAAGATTTGTACGAAATGGTACAGGTCCGTACTAGGTTGTTATACACCTGTACCAATAGAACTCTTTGCTTCAATTAGGAATGTACTATATTGGGGTTTTCTCCTCCTATATAAAAGGGATCCCAATCATTTGTATCATAACACATTATTCGCTGCAATAGAATATTCTATTCTGCTTTTCTTGTTTAACGTGCTCAACAAGTGTTCTTCAGCTTTATTGCTTTTACTTTATTATTCATACTTCATTGTTCTTAGCTGACCTTGAGGTCCCCAAGAAAGTCAAGTTCGAGGTCATCATTGTTATAACAACACTGCTTTGGTTCATCAATTCTTTTTACTTAAATTCAATATTACTTGTATATTCACTAGTATTAGAATAAAACACATATCTTTAAAACCATACGTTTAATTGTTACCCCATTTTCCGAGGTAAACATTTGTACTGAGTCAAAACAAATCCATTAAGTTAGTTAGGGGACATAAAAAAAAAATCTTCGGCCTCTTGTTCAGTTTACTTGGAGCTACAGATTTTGATAATACACATCATAATGGAGATTTACTCTACTATTCAACTTATTCCGAATTTGTAATTACAGAGAGGAAGACAAATATAAATTAAAAGACGTGGCGAGACACTATTAATATACATCCTTTATAATATTGAACAGCAAAGGAATCAAAGAAATAATTAGTGAAAGGTTCGGGAAAAAAGTAGGTAATACTAGTATAATATAAATAAAAAATAAAGGGATAATTTCATTAACTTTCCTTCAAGCTTCGTTTTATCACATTAATTTTTCTATAATTTATGATACTATATTTGCCTTCCTTGTTTTAGATTGTTTTCTAACAATTGTTTTAACCTAAAATAAATGAAAGCTTAGAAAGCCTTGAGGAATCAGCGGGTAACGTATTCCGATATTATACAAGCTTACAAATGTTTTTGCAAGAAAGATGAAGAGGGCAATTATAAAGAATAACAAATCATGTTTTATGTCTTCTTTCTTACAGTAAAAATACAATGGCCAAAAAGAGAAAAGAGGATACTTTTACACAGAGAGATAATATTTAAAAGAAAAATACTTTTACACACAGGGTTTGCTTATCATTTACTGGTCATTCATCAAGCTGCCTTTGGTGGTTCAGTTGCTACTGCAGCAGGTACTTCTTCAACTTTCTTCAACTTTGGCTGTCTCTGTTGCTGGCTCTGCTTCAGTTTTAGTCTCAGGAGCAGGGGCAGCAGCAGCTTCTGGCGCTGCTTCCTCTTTCTTCTCATCTCCAGCTTCAACCACCATGTCCTTCTCTTTCACCTCTTCAGCTACTGTGTCAGTTGTTTCTACTGCTGCTGGCGCTGCTGCGGCTGTGGCTGCTTCCTCTTCTTTCTTATCTTCGGTGACAACAAACGTGGACACTTTCTCTAACACGAAGATTATGGGACCTGATACATAGGAAGGCCCGAACTTCGAACTTGCTTCACTGACTGCTTTGGATCCCGGAAATTCTTCATTCATTATTTCAAGCACAAATTGTTAGTTCGATTGGTTGGCGAACAAAGTTATACAGGAGTTAAAAGAGATTAATAATCATCGACAATTTGGCGTACATATATTTCGTTTTTAGGATTTTTGGTTCCATTTAATAAAAATGGAATATATAGCGCATGATATAAAAGTTCACAATTTTATCCTTGTTTTTGAAATAAATAAAAAATAAAAAGGATGAATTCAAGGTTATTTTCATCTTGGGCGATTTCTCTTGTAAACTAATTCATGTATAAAAAGTTATCTCATGTTAATTAGATCTGTTATAAAATAATATCAAAATTGTAGTATACTATACCGGTATTATCTATATAACAAAACAAAAATTAAATGCCAACCAAACGCAACACAAAATAACATTGCTGAATTTAACTGAGTTTATTTGTCTAATCAGAGTAATCAAACTACCCACGCCGCCACACAGTGAACATGTACAAAGTGTGACGAAAGAACAAACGGTGGAACAAATAAAGACTTACCAATCTTGAATTCATATAGTATACTATTTTTGCAATTTTAATGAATTTTTATATATAAATTGTTGCGCCGCGTCAAAAGTTATGAGTTCAGTTGAACCTGTTGGCTCAATAATACATTCACCCCTGAGAACAACAGTGGAAGAGATAAGGACTTACCAATCTTGACAAGCTCATCAAGGAATTTCTGAACTCCAGCTGAGTGTTTCTTCAGCCCTGCAACCTTTGGTTCCTTCACCAAAGTCTGTGTTTTTGTTTTCAATCATAAAGAAAAGATTATCATACGTCCTATATTTGTGTGCTATGTATGTAACAATTCTTTAGTCTAATTAATTCCTTCATAAAACATACTAACTGATTTTATAAATACCTTAATCTCTGCTGCAGCAGCTTCATAGATTTCAACGACTTTAGGTTGGAGCTCAGTCTTCTTTTCATCGAATTCTTTGCTGTACTGCTCCTGAGATTTATTATTACGGTTACTGGAAGTTGTTAAATAAGAACTAGGTAATTAAGTGAAAAATGGTCTTTCATTTTATTGAAATGAGGTCGTAGTCCTTTGTAATAATTATTTCGGCAAATGGCCAAATATACCCCTGTACTATATACCCTTCGTTATATTTTGGATCCAAATAAATCTCTATTGTAATACTATTGGTTCAAATATAACCATATTCTGTTAAGTTTGTCCAAGGTAGACATCCAATCCTACGTGACACTGATATTTGATGAGGTGGAACCACATGGCATGCCACCTTAGCGTCCCTAATCCATATATAAAAGACTAAAATTTAAAATGCAATATTTTTCACGGTAGCATTAATGGTGGCAATAGTGGTTGAGAGAAAGGAAAATTTAATGGTGGAGAAAAAATATAAGGGATGGTAAAATGGGCTAGGGGCGCTGAAATGACAAATCATGTGGCATCCATTGAATGTCGATTTTGGACAAACTTAACGTTCAAATGGGTATATTTGAACCAATAGTATAACAACAACGCCATATTTGGATTCAAAAGTATAACTTAGTACATTTAAATCTTTTATAATAGTACAAAGGTAGCCCTTTTCCGTAATTACTTTGAAATATCCAAAACGGACAAAAAGAAAATTTTTTTTACCTTGGCCACATCAAAGGCCTCGCAGGCCTCAGCAGCAGCAGCCTTTTTGGGTCCATTTTTCTCAAAAACCTTCTTGATCTTTGGAAGAACCTTGTCTTTCCAGTAGCTCATCTTTATGTCTTCTAATAACACAAAGCACAAACGAGATAATTATTGTTCAAAATCATTTCTAAAACAATTCTTTCAATCCAAATACTGCAAGAAGGAAAAGGGAAAAAATCATAAGGAAAAGATTAACGAGTAGAAAGTTTATGATTGAGCAAACCAGTAGGATAAAGAAGAACTGGAGAAAAAATTGTCAGTGTTACTTACTTGAATGAAGAAAGGGAATACTCTCTTCTTTGTTTGTGTCTTTGGCCTCTGGTTTTCTAAATGCACACTATATTCGCTTAGTTTTAATGTGACCAATCTGGAAAATTGTTTTCATTATGTAGCCAACTGTGCTTCCAAGTTGAATTCCCCAGATCACCCCCTGTCTTTGCCCTTATTAACATAAATACGCTTGCGTCCAAACAACGTACACCTACCCCTCCCTCACTTGTCGATGGGGTGTCAAATAGGCAGGTTGAGCTAATTTTAGGCGGGTTAAAATAGGTTGAATCAATAAATGTGATCAGCCCAAAAGTAATTTCGGCTGGGATATGTTGGGTCAAGTTGAGCTAAATAGCACGAGCTAGCCAGTTTTCAGACTGGTAATTGAAAATAATAGCCAGCATTTGTAAAGTCATTAAAAAATAGCCATTACTTTGCTGTAACATGGAAAGTTCTAGCATAATATATTGGAGATGGCGCGCATGCGTATGAACTTGATCTATATATTATTCTTGAACTCCAGAACAAGGAAAGTTACAACATAATATACTAGAGATTGGTGCACCTGTGTATGAATTTCTAGCATATTATGTTGGAATTCCAGCACACAGAAAGTTCCAGCATAATATATTGGAGATTGGAACACTCGTGTATCAACTTCCAGCATATTATGCTAGACCAGTATATTATGCTGGAACTATAGTATGATATGCTGGAACTCCAGTATATTATGCTGGAACTCCAGTATATTATGCTGGAACTCCAATATATTATGCTGGAAGTTCACATGTAAAAAATTCGAACTCCAGTATATTTTGCTGGAATATTTTCCGGATTTTAAACAGTGTTTTCGTTCAGATTTATCTTTACATAAAAAGTGGCTAAATTTCAATTACTTTTGAAATTGTGGCTTTTTTCAAAAGTTAAACATTTCGATTTCGATTACTGCGCCCAACTCTTACCAAGCTTTAATTAATATGAATTATTTTATTATGAATTAATTAATTATCAAATAGTATGAATTTTTTCCTTTTGTTATGCTCATATATACATATCCAACACAAAAAATATTATTTTTAAGTTATTTTAGCAAAATTACTCATGTATCAGTTTGGGCTGAACATCAGCCTAATTTTAGATGGACCGAAATGGGTTGGATCAAGATGGGTTGAGTTTAATAAATAAGCAGGTCACTAACCAGCCTTACCTTAATCGGATTGGGCAAATCAAATGGATTTGGGCTCAAATTACCCCTGTTTGTGGCCATCTTTGGATTTAACTTATAACTGTATTTTGTTTGTTCTTCAAAACTAAATACTTATTCCTAAAACAAGTTTGTGTTTGTTCTGAAACCAAACAAACACTATAATATATATTCAGAAATACGTTTTGACAATTTCTTTTCATCACTTTATATGACACTACTACTTTTATTACTTTTTTCATACATTTTTAAATGATTTTAATTATCAGAATTGTAAATTGCAGTATTTTCTAGATAGTATTCACATAGATCCGGTGCTTATATTTATGGATTGTAAATTGGATGGACCACGGAAGCTGAAAATCTAATAATTTACTTTACTTTTTCCGCTGATGGGGGTACTAAATAAATATGATTTCATCTAGAGTTAATACCTTAAAGCCCGTCTAAACTATGTAACCTTTTGTCAGTTGTCTATCTAAACTATCACATGTTCCTGAAAACTCCTGAACTATATTCCCCTTCATTATAAAACCTACTAGTGCCACTACTAGAAAATGTAACAATTGCGATTGAAATTTTTCGACTAAAATATCCAGTCTGAAATTTCTGTGAAGGATATAGTTTAGAGGTTTTCAGGGACATGCTATAGTCTAGATAGCCAACTGACAAATATTGTATAATTTAGGGGGGTTTAGAATATTAACTCTTTCTTTTATTATTTACTCTTATGCAAATATCTCAATTGTTTTGGTGCTTTTGTTATACTGTTTAAATGCAACTGTTATCAAAAATCAAACTTAAGCAAATGAATTATTTTTCATTAACTAAGTCGAGAACTAATAATTCATGCAAAAAATTAAATAAGGAAAATTTTATTTTGCGTTTCATTCAACTGATACTAGCTAGTTGTATGAGACATTTTTTTTATTCACAATTCTGTAGACCCATATTTTTATGGACCCAAAAATATAAAATTGGGATCTACAAATTTATAAGACACGTAATAAAACTTTAAATTAAACAAGGGACTCAAAACGCTAGAGTTTAGGGAGAGCATCTGAGTTGGTAAATAGGGTATAATGGGGAAAAGATTATTCACAGCTGGCAATAGGATCATTCCGTGGTGGCAGTATCAAAATGGATGGGACCCTTGTCCAGCTTGATGGTGATCTGTGAAAGACTTGAGCTTCAAAACATACTCACGTGGCTTCGCTGGCTCTACAGAATAACGCCGTCAAGGAATCCCTCTGTTGAAGTCACCCTCTTCAACAACAACAATTACCCTGTAAAATTTCATATAGTAGGATTTGAAAAGGGTAATGTGTACGCAGACTTTACCCCTGCCCCGATAGGGGCCGAGAGGCTGTTTCCGATAAACCCTCGGCTCAGAAAGACAAAAATAAAGTAAAACAAAAACAAAAGAAGAGAATTCATTAGTAACTACAATAAAAACCGTAATAGTAACATACACATAAAAACCGAAAGATGAATGACATACAATAACAGTAACCATAATCTAAGGCCCGGGGCTAAGACAAACAACAAGAATAGTGTGGGTCCAACATAAACAGCAAGTCATCTAAGACCAACCCTAATCCAACCCCGCCTCACCCCCGAAATGAAGGAAAGCTTTACTACCCCTATCCTACAACCCTAATGCTTGACCTCCAGGCCTTCCTATCAAGGGCCATATCCTCGGAAATGTGCAGTCGTGCCATGTCCTGTCTGATCACCTCTCCCCAATACTTCTTAGGTCTCTCTCTACCTCTTCTCGTACCCACCACGGCCAACCTCTCACACCTCCTCACCGGTGCAACGAGGCTTCTCCTCTGCACGTGCCCGAACCATCTAAGTCTCGCTTCCCGCATCTTGTCATCCACAGGGGCGACACCCACCTTCTTCCGAATATCTTTATTCCTAATCTTGTCTATCCTAGTGTGCCCGCACATCCACCTCAGCATCCGCATCTCTGCTACTTTTATCCTCTGGATATGGGAGTTCTTAACCGGCCAACACTCTGCCCCATACAACATGGCCGGTCTAACTACAGCTCTATAATACTTACCTTTGAGTATCGGCGGCACTTTCTTGTCACACAAGACTCCAGATGCAAGCCTCCATTTCATCCAGCCCGCCCTATGCGGTGAGTGACATCCTCGTCGATCTCTCCATCCCCTTGAATCATCGACCCAAGGTACTTGAAGCTATCTCTCTTGGGGATGACCTGTGGCCCAAGCCTCACGTCCCCGCCTACATCCCTCGACTCAGTGCTAAACTTGCATTCCAGGTACTCTGTCTTAGACTTGCTCAATTTGAAACCCTTAGACTCGAGAGTCTGTCTCCAAACCTCCAATCTCTCGTTAACACCGGCCCTCGTCTCATCAATTAGAACTATGTCGTCAGCAAATAACATACACCATGGCACCTCTCCTTGAATATGGTGTGTCAAAGCATCCATCACCAAGGCAAATAAGAACGGGCTAAGCGCTGAGCCTTGGTGTAATCCCATAACAACCGGAAAATGCTCCGAGTCGCCTCCCACCGTCCTACCCTTAGTCTTAGCTCCATCATGCATGTCCTTGATCGCTCGTATGTAGGCTACCGGCACGCCCTTCGCCTTAAGACATCTCCAGAGCACCTCCCTAGGAACATTATCATACGCTTTCTCCAAGTCAATAAACACCATGTGCAGATCCTCCTTCTTATCCCTGTACTATTCCACCAACCTCCTAATAAGGTGGATAGCTTCCGTAGTGGAGCGGCCCAGCATGAACCCAAACTGACTGTCGGATATAGACGTCGTCTTCCTCACCCTCACCTCCACCACCCTCTCCCATACTTTCATGGTATGGCTAAGTAACTTGATACCCCTATAATTGTTACAATACTGGATATCACCTTTGTTCTTGTACAACGGTACCACTGTACTCGACCTCCATTCCTCCGGCATCCTCTTCGTCCTAAAAATTACATTGAACAACCCAGTCAGCCATTCCAATCCTGCTCTACCCACACACTTCCAAAACTCAATCGGAATTCCATCTGGCCCGGTCGCTCTACCCCTACTCATCTTACGCAACGCCCCCATGACCTCCTCCACCTTAATTCGCCTGCAATACCTAAAATCTCGGGGACTATTCGAATGCCCCAAGTCCCCTAGCGCTATATCCCAGTCCCCCTCCTCATTCAGAAGACCGTAAAAGTACGTCTGCCATCTCTGCTTAATCTGAGACTCTCCCATCAAACTCTACCATCCTCGTCTTTGATGCACCTTACTTGGTCTAGATCCCGGGCCTTCCTCTCCCTCGCTTTAGCCAGCCGAAACAACTTCCTTTCCCCGCCTTTCTCCCCTAATTCCTCGTATAGACGGCTAAACGCTGCATTCTTAGCCTCCGTGACCGCCAGCTTTGCCTCCTTCCTAGCCACTTTGTACCTCTCTCTATTCCCACTCCTCTCCTCCTCGCTTGTGCTCCCTGCTAACTTTGCGTACGCTACCTTCTTCGCCCCCACTTTACCTTGGACTGTGTCATTCCACCATCAGTCTCCTTAGTGCCTGCCAGAAAAACCCTTTGATACACCTAGCACCTCTCTCGCCGCCTCCCTCACATAGTTCGCCGTCGTCGACCACATAGTGCTCGCGTCTCCACTACTCCTCCAAGCTCCCATAGTGGATAACCTCCCCTCCAACTCTCGGGCTTTATCCTTGGTTAAATCTCTCCATCTAATCCTCGGTCGGCCACGAGCATACATCTTCTTCCTCTTCATCATAATGCCGATGTCCATCACTAAGAGCCTATGCTAAGTCGCGAGGGTCTCTCCCGGGATAACCTTGAAATCCTTGCACAACCCTCTATCACACCTTCTGAGGAGAAGGTAATCGATCTGAGTCTTCACCGCCGAACTCCGGAAAGTGACCATATGCTCCTCCCTTTTCGGAAAAGTCGAGTTCGCAATCACCAGCTCGAAAACCTTAGTGAAGTCTAACAGCGAAGTACCTCCTCCGTTCCTATCCCCAAAGACAAAGCCACCATGTACCTCGCCATAACTACCAACAGCCGCCCCAATATGGCCATTAAAATCACCTCCAATAAATAACCTTTTAGTAGGTGGAATACTGCGCACAATCGCGTCCAAGCCCTCCCAAAAGCGCCTCTTAACCTCCTCATCCAAGCCCGCTTGCGGCGCGTAAGTGCTAACGACATTGAGGGTGCATTCACCGATCACCAACTTAATAAACATCAGCCTATCATTCACTCGCCTAACCTCAACCACATACTCTCTAAGATCCCTATCCACCAAGATACCCACTCCATTCTTACCCCTCACGACTCCAGAGTACCACAACTTATACCCATCCGCATTCCTCGCCTTCGTCCCTACCCACCTAGTCTACTGGACACAAGCTATATTAAGCTTTCTCTTCTAGAGAATCTTTGCCAACTCAATAGACTTACCCGTCAGCGTGCCTATGTTCCACGACCCAATCCTCAATCTACAAGCTCCCTCTTTCCCCTTACCCTCCTTTCCTATCGTCGCAACCCCTAACCCCCTCCCCACCCCTAGTACCCCTCGAGGACATGACTTACTCTACCATCCCACACCGCAACCACTATACTTACAATAAACTCCGAAAAATACTAAAACGGACCCAAACTAGAAAATAACCGGTTACAACTATAAGTATTCTAATAATATGCTTAAAGTAATGCTAACTAAATAACCACAAATTAACTAACATAGAGAAAGAGACAAGAAAACGGGAGGTACCAACTCCCGATGAAAAGAACCTGGAAATATGACTTGATGCCCCCGTTGATGCTCCGTTCTACTCGCCCGTATGCCTCGCGCTTGCCTGGGCAGCCGCAGTAATTCCCGCGAATATAACCCGGGTGCTTTGGAACCCGACGTCCAGCCCTTTGTGACTGCCAAATGGCCTGCTCTGCTTTGCCCGTGCACCTCCCACCCGTCACCAAACAGCCACCAAAAGTGCTACCTGAAACACACACAACACACCACGAGACCAAGAAAAGGAGGGGACTGTCACCGAAACGATTGCCGGAAAAAAGTGCCGGTCCGAGAAACAATGGTACGGTGAGGAAAGGTTTGATGAAAGGGAAACCTAGAGGAGGGTGGTCTGGTTGGGTCAGAAAAGCATAAGGGAGATGAGACGGCGCCGGTGGGTCACCGGTCGCCGGCCTAGCTGCTGCTAGGGTTAAAAGAAAGAGGAAGAAAGAGAGGGGCGCGAGAGAGAGAAAGGAGAAAGAAAGGAGAGAGAAAGAGAGGGACGCGGGGAGAGAGAAAGGAGACGAGTACTTACCTGGACGAGTGCCGGCGGCGCTGTGGGTTTGCCGGTGGATTTGCCGAAGAAGATGAAGATGTTATCGTTATCGAAGAGAGAGAAAAGAGAGAGAGGATAGATTTTGCTGGAAAATTTTATTTTGCGTCTCATACAACTGACACTAGTTGTATGAGATAACTTTTTTGTTTCACAGTTTTGTGAACTCAGAAGTGTAAGATTGGGGTCCACAAATTTGTAAGACAAAAAGGAGTCTCATACAATCAGTGTAAATTGTATGAGATACAAAATAAAACTTCTCGATTTTCCTATAATATATTTATCTTTGCACTATTTAAAATAGATTTTACGTTAACTTTTCTTGCCTATAAATACATGGCAATTTACATAGGTAGAGACCACCGATAAAGAGAAAAGAAAGAGTTCTACTGCATATGTTCTTAATCTTACCTCTCTTATTGTTATTTTATTGAGTTAATACCCTAAAATTCCCTTAAACTATCGCATTTTTGTCAGTTTCCTACTTAAATTATTCAGTGTCCCCAAAAAACCCCTGAACTATATTGCCCTTCATATTAAAAGCACCTCATTGCATTCTTAGAGATGCGTTTAGTACACGCTCGCAATTGTGAAATAAACGTGTCATGTAACACTACACATTGCTATTTAACTCAGCCTAAAACTCGTCTAAACTATCATTTTTTTGTCAGTTGCCTACTTATACTATCCGGTATCCCTAAAATCCCCCGAACTATATTATGCATATATTAAAAATCTCATGTTGGACTTTTAAAGGTACGTCTGTCTAACTATATTAACTTATGGTTTGTACAAAGTTTTTTATGATGTTTACTCATGATTTTGTTACTCTCGAATGATTGATTAATTCTAGGAGTTTTGGCCAAAATAATATCTAATGCACTTTGTTAATTTTAGGTTTAACTGTGATATTACTTTATACTGGACTCTAATTGATAAGTTCTTATTTATATTCACTTTATAGCAAGAGTAAAAATAGCATTTCTTAAAGTCATCTTATATAACATAAAAAAGATTACACAAAATAAAATTTCGCAAATAGAAAATTAATCAGCCATTAAATACATTCTCTAATTCCAGATTACATAAACGAGGTTCAAGAGATTCAACTTTATTTTCTACAAGGTGTTGAATTTAATAAGAAGATTTAAATTGGTATACTTTCGACAATATGAATAAGACATGAAAGAAGACTAAAACAAAAAAAAAAAAAGAATAAATCATTTCAGAGGAAACAACAGAGGGAGAATTTTTTTTTAAAGGAAACTCATATGGAGAATTGAAGAATAAGGTTAAAAAATGAAGAAGAATATGAAAAATAAAGAAAAAGATGGAAATTGAGGAAGAAAGATGCATATAACTAAAATAAGGAGAATATTTATTAAAAAAATAAATTTGAAAGAGGGTTAGACTAATTATCCATTATTTTCTGTTAGGTGGGCAATTTTGATGGCTTTTTTAAGCTGTCACGCGCTTCCAAGCCAGTATTTATATACGTTATGCCAGGTCAGTAACGAGAAATTTTTATTATATAGCGCAATATAGTCCAGGGGGATTTTGAGGACACTGAATAATTTAAGCAGGAAACTGACAGAAATATCATAGTTTAAGGGGGTTTCAGGGTATTAACTTTTTTTTATTTTGTTAAATTGCGTTGTTAAATTTTCATAAGTTTCCTTATGTTTATACTGTAGAAAGCAGAAAATTAAAGGAAGTGTGGTTATTTTCTTTGTGTGAGAATTTGTCTTAAGATTCACTAGCATTTGGTGTAATCTGCTCTGTTTTCAAATTAAACTACTCAGACTTTTATATGGCAATAACTTTATATATATATATATATATATATATATAGGTGGATAAAAAATGTGACTTCATTTAGTGATATGATGATAAGTATAAAAAAATTTCTTTCCCATAGCTGCTATTGACATTTCTGTTTTGAGGCATTTTTAAAGCACAAGTTTCTATTCGTTATTACAAAATTTACAAATGAAACTTCCTCACTAAAATGACATTATTATTTCTAATTTATTTGTTTTCCTTTATAGCTTTCACCATGTCAAATTTATCAAAACTTGAATTTGTGGCATTTGACATCACCCGAAAAAATTATTTGTCATGGGTCCTTAATGCTGAAATTCACCTTGACGCTAAAGGTCTTGGGAAGAAAATGAATTATCAAATCAGAATAGAGCGAAGGCCATGATTTTCCTTCGTTGTCATCTACATGAATGATTAAAAACTGAATACTTAACTGCAAAAGATCTACTTGAATATTTCCCAAAAAGCTTTCAACAGGTAAATGTTTCATTTTCAAATGGCATAAGGAAAATACATCCTATGCCTATATGTCAACATGTGTAAGAAGTCAGGAATGACGTGATACCGTCAGAGGTGGATCCAGGATTTTAAGTTTATGAGTTCCTGTCGCAATTTCAAATTAATATAAAATAATGATTGGGTTCACAAATAGATATTTAATAAATTTTTTACCAAAAATACAAGATCTACGCAAAAGTTACTAGGTTCCCGGGAACCCGTATATTACACCCTAGATCCGCCCCCGGATACCGTACAACTTGAGAAAAATGCATCTATATGCCTGTATGTCATGTATGCATGTCAATGCAATGTATCTCAGATATGAACTCATGTACTAACACTCTCAGAGTACTTAATCTCACTATCTCACACTTTCCATTCATTATGCTTAATCACTCAATATGCTCAGTCACGTAGTAGTGTATATGGACAATCCAGCCCAGAAAAGATCCATCCTGAATATATACATAACAACTACCAGTCAGTCACTCAGTATTTTATAAGGCCAATACAACATGAGGAAGATCCATCCCCAAATATAAATGCTTCGGGCAAGATCCATACCCAGGGAAGATCCATCCCTCAATGTAAATCAAACGCGTTCACTGGGTGTGTTTGCAGACTCCGGAGGGGCTCCTTCAGCCCAAGCGTTATATCAAGCCAATCATGGCATAAATTAATAATATCTGTTGCAGCATGCCACCCGATCCCATAAATATATATAGCCATAAGGCTCGTTGTAGCATGCAACCCGGTCCACATATATACAACCATAAGGCTTGTTGCGGCATGCAACCCGATCAACATATATACATATATCACTCACAGCTCAGGCCCTCGGCCTTACCCAGTCATCAATCTCTCCAGTCTCGCAGGCTCACAATGCCATGAAATTAGCCCAAAATGATGATATGATGTGGCAATAAATAGCAACAGAGATTGAAATATGATATAAAATGAATGAACATGACTAAGTATGAAATTGTAATTTAAACAAATAATTCAATAGCAATATGACCTCGGTGGGTCCCAACAGAATAAACATGCAGCCTATACATAGTTTCTGACATGGATCACAGCTCAATAGCTCTAGTACGTTGAGATTTCATGGTTACAGATAAGATCATGTAACTATACAGTACCACAACAATAACATAGTCACAATTCATACGGTGCACTCCACACGCCCGTCACCTAGCATGTGTATCACCTCAACACCAAACACATAACACGTAATTTGGGGGTCCACACCCTCAGCACCAAGTTTAGAAGTCTTACTTACCTCGAACAAGCCAAATCCAATACCGAGCAAGCCAAGCGATGCTCCTAAAAATGTCATCCCGCGCGTACCGACCTTCGAACGGGAACCAAAAAGTCAAATCCGGGTCCGCGCCTCGGAATCTGGCTAAACTTATAAAATCCGATAACCCATTCAATTACAATTCCAGCCATATTATTTTCACTCAAATCCAACTCTAAATCAATGTTCAAAACTTAAAAATTGACTTTATGAAATTTTAAACAAAACCTCTAAATTTTACTTTGAAATCATCAATCAAATGCCAAAAATAAAGATGGATTCATGAAATATAACCAAAATTGAGTATAGAACACATACCCCAATCCATATGGTGAAAATCGCCTCGAAAGATTGTCCAAATCCGAAGTTTCCAACTCAAAATATGACCAAATGAACAAACCTTCGATATTAAGTATTTTTGTCCAGCTGTTCTACCTCGTTTTGTGTGCCCAACAATCCCAAAATTTACTTTTAATGCCTCCAATGAATACCTTGTGAAATTTCAATCAAGTTAGGCTTTTGAATCACTTTATTTGACCTTATAATGAAGGAGATATGGTAGTTTCAATATTTAGAAATAGTGCAGATTTTTAAAAACGAAGTCAGTGGCAATTTTATAATTAATCTGAGAAATCGAACAACCCAATTCATAGTAAAATGAACATAAAATTCTCATACGATATCCAAATTCGATGATTCTTTTTGCTATGGCTCCGTATTTATGATACGGATCTAATGCTTCGATCAAAACATAAATTGGTACTCATTTGTTTAATGTGGTACCATTTATGCTTGAAGAAACTCATCTCAAACCTATCCGAAACTCGCCTGAGCCCCTCGGGACCCAGTATGAACATACCAACACGTGCCATAACATAACATAGACCTACTGAGGCCTCAAATGACGCATAACAATATTGAAACGACGAAACGCACCTCAAATCAAACTTAATGAACTTTCGAACTTTCGACTTCCAAAAACTCGCGCTGAAACATATCAAATAACCTCAGAATAGACTCAAATTTTGCACACAAG